CTTGTAGCATTTTGAGATTGCATCATAGTGAACAAAAATATATTTTTCACTTTTATTATCAAGCTTACTACTTTTTTGATCTGGTACATGGGTATAAACAATACTCCAAAATACGCTCAAATGAGAAATAGATAGTTTTCTTCACATTCATATTTTTTGAGGAGATTTATTCCACAAGCTTCTTGTGGAAGAACGATGGGACAAATATACAGCACATTCAACTCTTGTGGTATCTTCTTACTATTCAACATGCTTTTAGCCATACTGAGTATAGTTCTATTCATCCTCTCGATAACATCATTTTGTTGTGGAGTCTATGGAACTGTCATAAGCCGACAAGTTCAATTTTCTATGGAAAAATATTTATACTCATTTGAAGTAAATTATCCTCCTTTATCTGATCTCAAAGCTTTTATATAAATATCACTTTCTTCCTCAACAAGAATCTCTTGAATATGTCAAACACTTCTGATTTCTTTTTGACAAAATAAACTCAAGTTTGTTGGCTGAGATCATCAATAAATAATAAGAATTAATTATTTCTAACGAAATAATTTGGCTTGATCGCTCCACAAAGATTAGCATGAACAAGCTCTAATGGTCTCTTTGCTCTCGAAAATGACTCTTGTGGAAAACTCTTCCTTGATTGTTTGCCAAACAAATATCCTTCACAAAGTTGATCAGGATACTTGTCATATGGCAATCGTTTTAAGTGTCAAATCCATAATGGATCTTTCTAAGATGACTTCAAACATTTTGCAACATCAGCGTGGATGTTTAATAGAAAGATTTTATTCTTCATCATTTGGACTTTAGCAACCATATTGTCATGATGGTCCCTCATTGAAAGAATATAATCTCTCATCAAAATATTGTAGTCTTTCTCTAAGAGTTGTCCCAAACTCAATATATTATTCTTCATATTTGGCACGTAATAAACATTAGAGATAAACTCATGCTTCACATTCTTGAAATAGATCAAAATCTTACCTTTTTCCATTCACGATAATTTTTATAGTTGAAAGATCTAATTAGCTTGCTATTATTCTATTAATAAAGTCTCAATTTTGTTCGATCTTAAAAATTAAAACAATTAAGTGGTGTAGTTGTAATGGTAATTAAAAGACAATATAGTAAAGAGAGACAACAAAAAGACATTTGTAACGTGGTTCGGTTTCCCAACATATTCCACGAGGTCATGTCCTAAGAATAAGATTAACAATTAAAAGTGAGTGCAATTTACCATAAATATTGACTTATGCATAAAAGAACTCCCTTAAACAATGTTTACCATAAACAATGTTTGAACAATTTGAGAGAAAAAACAAACTTTGCTTCACACTTCTTGTTTGTTATGTTCCAAGAATTACACAGTAAATAGACAAGAAAAAATTGGCACGAGAAGGAAAGTGAATTTACCATAATTCCAATTAAATCACAAATCCCTCAATACAATGAAACCACAATTCTCACAATAAATTCGTAAGATTCTCACACAATCAATTAGTAAGACATTAAAAAAAAATTGTCGTTAGAAGCATTTAAAGCTCGAATTTAAATTCAAATTAAAACACACAAACAAATAATTGAATTAGACACAAAATAAAAAAATAAAATGATTAAATGAAACTTAATGTTTTTGCAAAAAAAAAAATGACAATAAATAAAATTTCTTTTAGTAGCATCACCAAATATGTTATTGCCACCAATAAATTGATCCAGTTCCACGAACGTTAACTTATTCCCACACATTTGGTTGCTTGTACCAACATTAAGATACCACAAACTGTTCTCACATTCCTATTCATCTTTGCATGCTAAAGCAAAGATGACTCATCATTCTTGGCTTCTTGCTAGGTGTCACGGTCGTACATTTTTCAACCGTGCGGCGCCAAGAACTAAGCTCGACCATGGCCAGCCTTACGGGGAACTCTAGCCCCAATCCACTTTTCGCGCCCTTTGTGGCTTTGTCGGACCTTAGGTAAGGTTCTTTCTTCCTCGACCGAGCTTCACTTGCAGCGGAATTCTAACTTGTCTCGGCAATGCACGTCGCCCGTACATGCATTTAAACTCTATCGCGACTCTAGCCGGCTTGCCTCTACACTAGGCCAAGCTCCACGACTCTATCTTGCCTCTACTCTAGGCCAAGGTCTTCTAAACGCGACGTCACAACTTGATTTCAACAATCTTTGTTCTCGGCCACTCGGCCGTCCCGCTCCTACGATGAGCCAGGACCTTACCGGGATGAGTTCTGACCCAGAACGGGGCAAGAATGCGCTTAAAACGCCAACCGGGAGATTCCTGCCGCTTAACTATGTCAAAACTAGCTTATCGGGCCCATCAGACGCCTCTAAGACCATTCCTGCCGAGAAACTAGTCAATAACGGGCTAAACGGCCTTAACGAGTACTGCCGGATGATTCCTGCCAACTTCTAGACAAGGAATGACTAAACTTGGCAACCGGTATTAGTCTTGCCACTTACCAAGTCAAGACTAACTTTTTCTCACTTATCGAGTGCCCACCGGTACTTTAGGATGCCACCCCGAGCATCAGGATGTCATCGGGCTTCGCTGCTCACTTGG